CAGCGGGCAGGGGCCCGCTCAGGGCGAGCCGGAGCAAGAATTGGCGTGTCTCCCGGTTTTTGCCCACTGCTCACAGCCCCTGGCCTGAGGATGTCCGCAGGGATGCTCTGTACAGGGTGGGGACAAGCAAGCTGCTAGCATGGAATCATAGAATGTCTGGAGTTGGAAGGGACCCACAAGGATCATGGAATCCAAGTCCTGGCCCAAGACAGCCCCAGGGATCTCATGAGCCTGTGAGTGTTGTCCAAACATTTCTTGAACTTCCCGGGAATAGGTCCATCAGCCATGTTATTGGCCATTGAGTCCAAAATCAAGCCACCCTTTGCCTGTAGTGGTGTCCATATGCTGGATAGCCCCTCAGTTTTGTGTCACTGGGCAACAGGCAGGGGTATGGGCAGGACAAGAGCCAGCAGGACAAGAGCCTCACATGCTGTACTGTCCTGCCTTGGAAAAGACACATCTCCCAAAGGAAAAGGGGAACGTTAAATTGCTGCTCTGCCTCTCTCCACCTGCAGGACCATTTACTCTGTGTGTGTGTGTGTGTGTTTGTGTAAATGCACCCTTGGGCAAACTGGAAGTCCTGCCTAGTGTGGTTGCTCCCTGCTGATGATCAACCCGTGTGCTTGCCTGACACATGTTGTAGAATTATTGCAGAAACAAGAGTAACTGCAGCAGAGGAGAAGAGGAGCTGAAGAGGGGAGGGGTGCAGAAGCCTGTAAGCCAGGCAATCTCTCAGAGGACAAAAGGCACTAAAGATGAAAAGTGATGTAAAGTCTGAACGGCTTTCAAGGCAAGGAGGTGACAGATGGGGTCAGAAAAACACCCAACAGCACAAGCCAGGGAAGCCTCAGCCTGGGTTAAGCAACTCAGCCTATTCCCTCCATGTTTGCTGCTCCTTTCTGCTTGATTAGCAAATTCTTTCCCTAGAAGGAACTAAGACATATTCCTCCTGCCCTGCCCCCCTGCACATAGTGGTGCCTGTGGGGAAAATAGTTTAGGCTCTTAGTTACCTTTCTACTCCGGGTGTAATTTTCAGCATACCATTCTGATTAACTAATGCCTCATACCCCGTGGAGCTGCTGAAGAGTGATAAGAGACCTTGAATAGCAGCCTGCTGCTCTGCCAGAGATAACTTCAGAAGAGAGAAAGCAGCAGAAAATTTGTCCCTGTGACCCTCTTCCTAAAGTATTTACTGCTATCATTTTTTCACCCCACTGGCATCTACAGACTCACTTGTTTTAGTTGATGTCAGAGGGCTAAGGAAAGCCATTTTGAAAGGATTTCCTGGTGTGTAGGGAAGGTTTCTGTGGTTCTGAGTGCCATGGTTGTGCTCCTGGGAACAAGTGAGAGAGATCTTAGACTGAAGTCACACAACACTGGAAGGCTTTGAAAATGTGCTGCATCTAAGGGAGGTTAGTGGGAAGCAAAAGGAGAAGCATAAGAGCCTGTGGTGAGGTTGCTTTGTGTTACCAGAGCAACTCTGCAGAGCTTGGTCCTTGGAGTGTCTTTGGTTATGGCTTGGAGCTCCCATTGCAACAAGTCATTAGTGCAGGAGACAAATTAGGAGAGAGGGGTTTTACATCCTTCTCAAAAACTAACTCCCAGTGTCCAAAATAGCAGAGAATGGAAATATTCTAGTGCTGCCCTGTGACATGGTAGATGTCTGGGGTATAACAGGTTCTTTGTGTCCCATGTTTGGTCTTTTCTGAGCAGGACCTAACCTGGCAAGCAGAAGGAAGCCAGGTTTGACTTTTGGAACATTAAATATTTGACTGTTTGACTGTCTTCTGGCAGTATCAGAGCTCACTTGCCTTGTGTCTGAAATCCGGGCTGACCATGCAGTCAGGGAGGCTCCGGGAGCAGCCCCTAACGAGTTCCTCCTTTGTGTGGAGCCCGGCTCTTGGGAGAGTGCAAGTCCTTTCAGGAAATTTCAGTGGAGGCAGGAGGGAGCAGTGCGCACTGTGACTCGCAGCCCGTTGCAAATAGGCATTTGCTAAAGGTCTCAGTTGTTGTGTTTTGTGTCCAACATGCATAAAGTGCTTGGTGTTTGCTCCTGCCTAGGAGACAGAAGAAAACGGCCTCCCATGCTGTGACAGAGCTGGAGAGCACCAAGGATTGCAGCCAGGCCGGGAAGCCTCTCCTGTGCCCGTCCCATCCCACGGAGGAGCTGCAGCTGTTCTGCGAGCAGTGTGAGCAGCCCGTGTGCCGGGACTGCGCGCTGGGCAGGCACCGCCAGCACCCCTGTGACCTCGCCAGCAATGTCATCCACCGGCACGGGGATGCCCTGCGGGAGCTGCTGCAGAGCAGCCAGCGGCACTTGGACACCCTGGAGGATGTGCTGAGCCAGGTCGATGAGATGGGCGGCGCTGTCCGCAGCCGCGCAGAGGCTGTGGCCGCGGAGATCTGCCTCTTTGCCAGGGGCTACGTGAAAGCCATTGAGGAGCACCGGGACCGGCTGCTGAAGCAGCTGGAGGACTTGAAGGTGCAGAAGGAAAACCTGCTGCACTTGCAGAAGGCGCAGCTGCAGCAGCTGCTGCTGGACATGAGGACAGGCGTGGAGTTCACGGAGCACCTCCTGATGAGCGGCTCAGATGTGGAGATCCTGGTCTCCAAAGGGGTGGTGTCCAGCCGTCTGACACAGCTCAACAGCGTTGCTTACAGCACCCACCCCAGCGTGGATGACAGGATCCACTTCTCCCCCCACGAGAGGGCAGGGCAGTGCTCTGGCTATGAAGTTTTTGGGGCCATTCTCAATAAAGTGGTCGATCCAGCCAGATGTACCCTGCATGGGGAAGGTAATGGGGTGCTGTACAGCAGCTGAGTGAGAGTGCATTGTTGAAATCACCCCTCTGCTCTCTGTAGCCACATGGTGTGCAGGTTCTGGCTTCCTGCTGTCCAGACACTGACCAGGGCAGAGGTTGCAGTGCCTGCCTACGGATGCTGTGCTGGGCAGGGAACCAGGCAGCTTTTCTCATCCAGGTGTGCAGAGCACGTGGCACTGCCCTCCACAACATCAGCAGCCTCAGCATGGGCTGAAGCATGAGGAGGGCTCTCTCAGGGGGTGGAAATGGCACCTGCAATAGCAGGAGGTGATGCTTTGCTGGTGCTCCAGGCTGTTCTGCAGCATGAGCCCAGGCAGATCCCCTTTGTGGCTGATTAAGTTTTTACATTACAGCTTCTGCTGAGATGGCTATAGGAATACCTGGCAATACCTTGATGGTTTTATGGATATTTGCTCACTAAGGACTTGGAGCTGGGCCAGCAAACAGATAATGTTCAGCCCATCCCACAGAGCACAGCCAGCTGTGGTCAGTAATGGTCTGTGCAGGGCAGATGAGACAGACCCAGAGCTTGTTCAATCCCTTCCATGCCAAACTGTGGGTGTTAAGTTCTCGGGGCACAGTGGGGCTGGTCCTTTTTCCTCTGGGTTGCATGGAGCATCTTGAGGCCTTCTGGGAAGGTGCCAGCTGGGCTTAGCGTGACAGACAAAACCACCCCAATGGTCTGTGCAGATCTCTGGGCTAAACCTGCCAGACATCTCTCAGAACCCATGGCTCCCACTCTCTCCTGATACCCAGAGTTATGTTGACTTTTCCCTGTGAGTGGAAGGAGCTGTAAAACCTGGAAGCAAAGTCCTGGCTGTGCTCTGATGGAGCTGCAACTCTGCAAAATAGGTGGGAGGTGGCAGTCATGGCTTGACTTGAATCCTTTGAAGTTCTGTTTCTTTCTGCTTTGGTGTTTGTTTCCCCAGATCTCCACAGTGCCCGTCAGAGCCAGCTGAGTGGCTTTACCCTGCTGTGCAGGGACACTGCGGGTGAGCGCTTGGGGCGGGGAGGAGAGGCTGTGCGCGTCACCATCACCCACAGGGACAAGAGCCACTGGTGGGTATCTCACACAGGAAATCCCTGGCTTAGCCCTTCTGCTCCCTTATCCTGGCTCCCTGCTTGCTTAGGGGGTGGGAGGATGTGCTTCAGCATGTGGGACAGAATTTGTGAAGGAAAAGGCACTACTCTTTCCCACACTGCTTCCTAGTGGTTGTATTTGGCTGGACAGTGATTGCTGAGATTTGCTGACAGAGATTTGTACTGTCTTTGAGTGATTTGAGCTTCTTAAAGGATTCAAGTCCTTGTGTGTGTTGCTCGGCAAAGGGAGCTGTTGTTCCTTCTCACTGCTCCCAGCAGACACCTGGGGCTCCTGCTTTTGTTACAGCCTAATCAGTGTAAGTCATTGCAACCCCTGTATGGCAGTCACAAGTCAGACAGTTCACCAGCACCATGAACCTCTGACAACTGATGGAAGTGCCTTCTTCATGTTCTGGAGAAAGAATCTGTGTTGTGCTTTTGTTCTTTTTCCTGTAGTTGCAAGCATTGAATACTGTAACATGTTTGAAGGTTTTCTAGCAAAACCAGGAAAGGCTGCACTTGAGCTCCTCAGTGTTTCCACAAGGAAAATGACCAACCAGAAAAAAATTATAACTGTTTCCAAACATTTGTCACTAAAGAGTAGCCAGGCATAAAAGCAGACCCAGTTGGCAGTTAGTTCTTAAGAAAAACATCTATTGTTTTATAGTAGCTGGAACCAGATGCCAGCATTAATTTGTTCCAGGAACACTCATGATGGGATGACCTGATGAAAAAAAGGGACAGGATGCTAAAACCCTTTGCTGTGTTGACAAAGCACACAGAGGCAGTGCTGGCTGCACAGATGCTTATCAAAAGAGCATCATTGTCCAAGAGTATTGTTCCAATGCACCTTCTTTCCATAAGTGCACCCATAATGTAGGAAGGTGCATGCCCCAGGGATTTCTGGATTTCTCTTGATGGGGTAGAGGTCGCTGTGGCCACATTAACTCTGTTTCTTGCTCTTGGCTGCATGCACTTGCTACTTGGGTTGCTGAAAGCTGTCTGGCTTTGCTTTGATGCACAACAGCTGCAGAAGAGCATGAAGTATCACCACACAGTTCATGGCAGGAAATTATGTAGGCAGCTGTATTGATGTGAAGTGTTGGGGGTGGGGAATACAGGTTATAAGCTGTCATGTCATGGGGCCCGGGAGACTAATTAGCAGGGATTAGCAAGAACACCTTCCTCTGTGCAGAGCTGCCTGATAATTGTCTGTGAAAAGTTTTCCATCTTCCTGTGGAGCAGGAAATTTATCCTCAAGTAACCAGCTGAGGCTTTCTCTCTAGCACTCTGTTCACCAGAATTCCCTGTGAAACACAAGGAGCTTCACTAGGAAAAGGGAGAGTTTACCAGCAGGGACCTAGAACTCCTCAGCATTGAAGGGAAGAGTTGGGGTCAGTGCAGTTGGGAGAGTGTTTTAAGTGGTTCAAACCTACCCTATTATATCCTGTCTTCTTAATAGGTTTTTCTGTAGGTAGGTGCTTGCTGAAGCTGTCGATTTACCCCATTTCTGTGGGCTCTTATCTAATGGGACTATCTGAGTTGTAAGTGTGCTGTGTGTCATCTTCTGCCTTTTGGTGTGCAGGCTGCTACAAATCCTTGCAGTGCAACTGGCTTTGTGTGACTTCCTTTGTATGGTAATTGCAGCTTCCAGCAACAGGGGTGTGTGAAAGCCATTCTAGGCCAAACTCTGGTTTACATTTAAAGCAATTTTCTGCCAGTCACTGACCTCTTGGGTTTCTCTCCACTGTTCACAGTGCAGTCAAACCAACAGTGTGTGATAATGGTGATGGGACCTACTGTATTTCCTACAGCCCTGAGGAGCCAGGCTTGTATGCTGTCTGCGTCTGTGTGAAAGGGCAACACGTGCAGGTAGCATTTCTTGTTTCTCTTGCACTGCTTCTTCTGTACCTACTTTTCTTTTCTTAGGCATTTGTTTCAAATCTGTCTAAGGATTATTTCTACCACGTAGCAGTTCAAGGCTGGGCTTAGTGATCTGTGACTGACAGGGTCACCCAGATGGTGTCTGGGAATGCAGACACATCTGACAGCATCTCTCTCTTTGCTTGTCCCCTGCAGGGCTCTCCCTTCACTGTGACGGTGAAGCCCAAGTTCCGTGAGCACCAGGGGGTGTTTCACTGCTGCACCTTCTGCTCCAGTGGAGGCCACAAAGCCGCTCGCTGTGCCTGTGGTGGCACCATGCCAGGTGGGTGCTCAGCTGCTGGCACCAGGAGGATTTGCTGCACTGCTCCTCCCTAGTGCATGGAGGTGTGAGGAGATCCTCTCACCCAACTCCCACCTTGGACATGCACCAGGAATGTGGTAGACTGTGTGTGCACCTGTTCTGGTGGGGTGACTGCAGCAGGGAGAGATGCAGCAGGACACACAGAGGGGCTTTATGGCACATCCCATAGTCAGGGACCTGAGCCAGCTGTGCAGGAGGTGGGGCAGGGCACCTCAGCCTTTCAGCCCTTCTGAGTGAGGCTGAGCAGCATTGCACCTACAGTGTTCCTGATCCAGTGCTGGCATGTTGGGGGCTTGTTGGCTGTGTCACACAGTGACCAGCTCTGGAGAAGCCTCACTTCATGTTTTGGACAAGAGTTCAACTCCCTTGCTTGTTTAATCCCAACCATCTTCCCTGTGCTTCACCTGCATGTGTCATCATGTGTTTTGTGTGTTTTTAGGATAGAACTGGCCTCTTCCTTTTTCTGTGCTTGATCTGTATCTTTGGCCATAGCCACAAGCAGCTGGCATGGGGTTCTGGATGCCCATGTCTTGCTGTATTCAAAAGACAAGGGAATGGAAATCATCAGCTTTCCCCAGCTATTGAGTTGTTCTTTATTTATGGAGTCCTGGCAATTTTGGCTTTGAATATGCTGCATTCTCATCAGCACACTTTAGAGAAGTCCTGGGTCCAAAGCCTATACCACACTGGGATTTTCTGGCCCACTTTGGTGCCTCTTCTCTTGCAGGTGGGTACCAAGGCTGTGGCCACGGACACAAAGGTCACCCTGGCTGCCACCACTGGTCATGCTGTGGACAAGTGAAGGAGAGCTCAGAGTGTTTGAGTGGGCCCCCCAGTGACACCTCACAGAGGAGTTTGCTCAGGACAGTGGCACTCTGAGCAGCCAGGTGAGCTCCTGGGAGTCCAGGCCACTGCTGCTGGCTGCTCCAGGAGCACAGATGATCCATGAGGATCCATATGATCGATCCCTGCACAGCCTTGCTGCCAGCAAACAGCGTGATGGGTGTGAGTTGAGAAAGGGGGAATGAGGGAAAATAAAAACTGTGCCTTATGTTCCACCAAGGGGTGTGTATGCAAAGTTATTTTTGTGCTCAAACAGGAGCAAATTCTGGGAATTGTACTGGTGTCTACACTTCTGAGGACTTGTGGTCTGAGAGGACATGCTCTAAGGGGAAACTCATTCTGAGCAGTAACCTCACAGGAGGGTTAAGATGTGTCCTATTCTGCAGGGTCAACAGCCTCTGCTGTCCTTCTTGATGAGCTTAAAGCTGCTCATTGGGGCCTATTCCAAAGGGTTTGTCATCATGCCTTGGAAGGGCTTGGCAACCTGAATATGGCTTCTGCCTCCCCGTTGGATATGCATCTGGATTCCAGCCTTGGATGTGTGCACATTGCACAGTCAAGCTTCTGGGAGCCGCTCTTTGTTTGCAACTCCTACCCTTCCTCTGGGTATACTGTAGTCTCATTATGCCCTGCCTGCAAAGTACAGGCAAGGTGAGTTAGTAATGTATCTGCAGGAGGGCCCAGAAAACCTCCTGGCACTGATAGGAGCAGGAATCAGAGTATCATTCACCTGGCCTGTTTGTTCTCCATGGAGATCATGTGGGACACGGTGCTGCTGGGCGTGGTGGGGGAGCCAGGGCAGTGCCAGCTCACCAAGGGAGCATCTGGGGGCAGCCTGAGTGTCAGCAGGACTCACAGACACAAGGTCCAATTGTCTGTCCAGAGCTGGAGCGCAGGAGATGGAGCACAGCAAAACTCCTGGATTTGGCTTGTGCAGCCTTGGCAAGGCATTTACCAACCCATAGCTGGGGAAATGCATCTGTGATGAGGAAGAAGAGGCACTTCCCTGGAAGGGCAATTGCCACCCTGCTGCCATCTGCTTGCCTGGGTGAAGCAGACACCCCGGATAACCTCCTTTGCAAAATACATTTCTGTCACTGAGGCTGGGATCACCGCTGCCCTGAGGGTAACCTTGCCAGTAGGTGTGTGTTGCTATGGGCTCCTAATTCTGCCCGAGGAGCTGGCACAAAGGTCCCACTGCTGGGAGCTCAGGGAGGGAGAGGAATGCTGTCAACAGCAAGGACCAAGTCTTGCATTCTGTGTTAGGACAACTGGCTTGTAAATAGTAGAAACCTGCACTGTGTTTGTTTGCTCAGCCTTAGAAGTCTCCCATTTGTTGTTTGTTCCTCTTACAAAGCCAGTTTTGGAACTTCTTCCCAGCCAAGGAGATAGATATCCTTATGCAAATGCTGTTTATAGCTTTCCATAAATCATCCAGAAAGCTTCCCTGTCAAACAGTCAGGGAAGGCCAGACAGTTTAAATCTCCAAGTTAGGCAATTTAAGGTTGCTGAGTCTGAAATTTCAAAGCAAAAGTTTAGTTTGAGTTAGCCATTAATGGAACAAATAGTAACTCCTTCTCATCCTTGCTATGTACAGAGTCAATGCTCAGTGCAGAATGTGATGTAAACCAAAATGCCTAATTTTTTTGTGTCTTTGTAATTCTTTCCCCCCACCCCCTAGGTGTGTTGTTTTTTGTCAGAGCCTCCATGCTGACTTGCAGAGGGAACACATAAGGACAGCACTACCTCCTAGGCACATAATTTCTGACTAAAAACATCTTAGTCCTCTCAGACAGAGGAATGTGTTTTCTCTTTGTGTTAGGTATCCCTTACACACCCTGTCACTGATGTTTTCCAAGAAGCTGTTTGTCAGAATTACACCAATGAAATTTAAACCCTTCATGGAACTGCAGCTCTCCATCTGATATGGGCAGAGCAGTTTTTGGACAGCTTGGGTCAGGCCCTGGTATATTGATTTTTTTCTTCCTGTTAGACTCGAAGGCCCAGTTGGTCCCAGGGATTAGAAAGCATTGGCCAGCTACCACTGTGAGCTTGGTGTTGGTTGTGCATGAGGATATCTTGAACCAATCTTGATAAAAGACATTTAATGACCTTTGTCATTTTGTGGGGAGGGCTAGGTCGGATTGTCCTCCCATTATTTGACAGCAGCCTCAGTCTTTATAGTTCAGAGCACTTTGCAAATGATCTGCTGGAGTCTGACATTGGACCCCAACATTCATTCCCAAGATAGGCTTCCAGTACTGTGTTGGTAAACATCTGGGTCAGGAGGTGCATTAGGAAGTGTAGTTAGTCTGCTGGGCTATATGATGTTATTTCTGTTCAGCTGGTCCTTGAGATAATAAAGGTATTTTCAAGACAAACATGAATGCAGTGCTGACAGGACTGCACTGATAGATACTGATATTTTTCTTTTCCCAGGACAAAAGCTCTTGATGAAATTGCCTGTCTCCAAAGCTTGGGGAAAAAAATGAACATGAGGAGGGGCTTTCGGAGTCAAGAGAAGAGAATTTACTCCCTCAACAGGGAAAACAGTGTAGCTGGAAGAGAAACCATGAAGAACAGGACACTATGGCATACCTGGAAGGATGCCTGGAACCTGAAACCTCCATGTAGGTAGGGTGCTTGCAGAGTCAGGGTCAGGCTGAGGTATCTTTCCTTTGAGAGGCAAAGCAGGCTGGTGACTCAACTGCACCTGTGCCACCAGTGACCATTTTGTCCCAGCAGATCTCAGGAGCAGAGCAGATTCTGGCTCAGATGGGCTGCTGCTTTTTCCCACAGCAGAAGGTGCTTCACAGGGATGCACCACCTGATGGGAATGCCATGTCAGGACAGATCCACATGCAGTGTGGAGGACTTTGTGTGTTTGCAGCCCAGGGTGGCACAGCACCTCTCTTTTGAGAAGTGAGGGCTTGTTCTGAGTGCTACCAGCTTCCCTTCACAGGCGGGTGAGACTGAGGACAGGTATTGCCAATAAGGAAGTGTCAAGTTCTCCTCCTTCCAGATCACTAGTGTTCTCATTTGTGGTACTTCTCAAGCACCTCTTGATATCATTGTTACAGATGTGGGATCATAAGGCTGGAAAGATGTCCTACATTTTGGGTCAAACCCCAAGAAAAGCTTTCATCCCTTTCAGCTTACTGGTTGCCTAAACCTTTGTGGAATGCTCTGTCAAACCTGGCTAATGGTGGGCTTGCCACAACTCCATCTTCTCCTTCACCAATAGCTCCTGCAGCATTCCAGTAATGCTGAAATGAGGTGTGAATTTCCCATAAGCAGGGAAACTCTTCGGTAGGGTACCAGCAGCTGCTGGGCCCAGCAAAGCTGGTAGCATTTTGTGGCTGCTGTTGCCTTCTCCTCAGTGAAGGCAGCTGATGTGTCCCAGGTGTTCACCAGCTCTCACAGACCATGTGGGACCAGATCCTGCTGTCACATTTGGCTGGATTTGCTAACAAATTCAAGATTGGTAAGAGCTGGGCAGATCATGTAATCACAGTCCCTTGGTTTCTTTGGGAAGTATCCTGACCACCTCTTGGGCTTTTTTTGTAGTATAAACAGACAGGAGTAGGCTTCAGCATGAGCTGCTCAGAAATGAATGCAGTGTTGCCCTGGGGAATGGGACTGGCCCTGGTCCTGCTGGAGCTGCCTGTGCCCGAGAAGCAGACATGTTTTTCCAATGTGGAAGTAACCTGATTGTTGACTGTGCAATGGGGTGTGCTGTGGCTGACCTGGAGTCAACTGGAGTGGAAAGGGGACACCTTGTCTGCCCACTGCACACGCAGCTGTAAATCAGGTGTCACCACAGCCATTAATCAAGTGTCACAGAGGGCAACAGGATATTTCTCAATGTGCATTTCCCACCGAGCCACTGTGGCCTAGAGCTATTCTTAGCTTCTTGTACTGTACTGCTAAATTATGAGAGGCTTAATAATCAGCAGGATGCTGACAAATAATGATGATTTTTTTTCTGATTATCACCACTGGCCAGCATTAATTGGTCTTGATTATAACCTCAGGTTATTACAAAGAAAGTATGGTTTTTTAGGTGCTGGACTGTTCCCAGTTCCTCTGGGCATCCTCAGCTCTGCATGGGAGAGCTGTTCACTCCCACTAACCATCCAAATTTGCTGGAGATAGCTAAAGACTGTAAAAAATCCCCTTTTTCCCATCCTCCCCGGAACACAGTCCAGATGTAGATGTCAGGATACGCAGGTTCCCTTTTGGGAAACTGAACATGGTGGTGCAAGCTGCCTTCCCTTCTCTTTCACAACCTCTCTGCCCTTCTCAGCCCAAGAGCTGCTCATCCTGCCCCCAGCCTCATCTGAGACCAAGCCCAGAAGCAAAGACCTGCAGGGCCTTGCAGGTGCCAGTTTCTTTCCTTTACATGCCCCAAAGTGCACCACCCTGGCAGACCTAAGAGCAGCAGGAGCTTGCCTTGGGGGAGGGTGAGAGGTGGTTTGGCCAGAGGGAGTTCAGTGGGATTAAACAGCAGTCAGAAAAGGGGCTGCTCCCAAACCTGCGTGGCTCTGAGAGCATTGCTGAGCTCGTAGGAGCCTCTTAGCACAGCACAGAGAGGCAGGGGAGACTCACAGTGCGAATGGGGCCAGGAGGGGCACCCTCTGGTGGGACCTCTCTGCCCAGTGCCAGGAAAGTGGTTGGACATTTTTGTAGGGAGACCTGAGCTAGTCCTGGTTATGACACAGCCCCAAGCTGCAGATCTCCTGGGACACTTGTGCACTCTAACCCCAGGGTTAGCTGGCTACCAACCACAAGCTGTAATACTTTTTGTCTTAAATAAGACACGTTTCTCAAATGGGTGTGTAGGAGGTCTCTCCTGTTGCCCCAGAGTCTAACCAGGCCTCCCTGCTTATGACTGTCCTGGGGGTGGGGGGAGCTGAGATGCTCAGAGTTTCCTCATTCCTGAGGGTTCCGTGCCTGGGTTCACCCCTCCTTAGCTGCGTGCAGTTATTTAAGCAGGACAGCTTGGGAGGATATATCATGGAACAGGCAGGGGCTGTGCTGAACAGTGTGGGACCTTCAGGCTCCTGTTGTTTGACTTGTCTCCGTAGATGCTGTCACCATGGCATCCCAAGGCCAGGCCATTTTCTGGAGGTATGGTACTATCTGCATTTCCTTTGGTAGAGGGAAAGGAGGGAATTGCACTTTTCAGACTCTTGGGATGTATCACCCTGCTGCCAGGAGCTCTCAAGAGTGCAGTTCTTTGCAGCTTGACTGTATTGCACTCACTCAAGCTACTTAAATACCAGTACAGCTTGTTTTATACAGTTTGTAAGGCCATGTATGTATCAGACACCCATGTGCAGTCATCAGCTGTAGTCAAGATGGAGATGCATGTCCTAGAACTCTGCACTTGCTAGAAGTTGCTATCCCAGGGTTGAATCCTGTGGTAGATTGGGGTGGCAATGTTTGAGGAAGGGTGTATTCCTGCTGTTGTATTTTGGGGGTTCAATGGCTTGAGGAAGGCACCCTTCTTCTGCTGGTCCTCAGACAGTTGCTTGTGTTTCCATCACATCAGCTTGCTGTGGGGAGAAAGAAACTGTCCTCCAGAAGTTTCCTTGCAGGATTAAGAGCTGGGAAGACATTCTCAAAGTGTTTTGTGGCTCTCATTTCAATTACCCCATTTCCTTTGGAGCTATTGACTGAGTGCTGGTGAACTAAAGTTGGAAAAAAAGTCATTACAATATCTACCGCATATCCTTATCTCCTGATTAGCTGAAAATAACCCCCACCAGATGGATGAAAGGGCAAATTTTTCATCCTCTAGTGAACGTGGAATGAGCTTTCATCTAAACCTCACTGCTTGAACAGAGACAGCAACAAGCTGTGTCTTTCCATGCCAGGTGTGAACTTCCCAGGCTGGATGGACACAGAGGTTCCAGTGAGAGACAGTCCTGCTGGTAGTTATTCTGTGAAAAAGCTTTCAGCTGTTACCAGTACCTGTCCCACTGGAGTGGAACAGCAGTGGGGAGAAGGACAGGCCATGTGTGAACAGAAGAGACCTCACACATGAGCCTTGCCACATGGAGCATCAAGGAAGCACTGAATAGCAATATGATCTGCGCCTTTTCACTGGCAGAAGTGAGGTTGCCTGTAGACACAGAGTGTAAATATTTCCTGGGCACTGCTTTCCTCATATGTCTGGAATGCACGCAATAACCAGCTCTGTTATTTTCAAGAGGCAGCCCAGCCAGCCTTCAGGGAAATGAAATAATTGATGGGTGTGAAAAAATGCTCATCTGTACCTTGCTGCTGTGAAAACCTTCCTGCTGTTCTGCCAGAGCCTCTGCCTGCCCTGCCAAGCAGCAGCAGTTTACTGGGAGAAGGTTCCTTTAGGGACATTTGCTCCTCAGGCTGATCCTGAAATGCAGAAACAGACCACAGAAGGGGGTGAATTTTCCAGGAAGTTTCAGAGAAGCAGTGGGAGATTTCTGCTGATTTCAGGAAAAAAAAAACAAACAAAACCAACCAAGGAATCAGAACCAAAACCAAAAAATCTCCAACGAAAACAACAACACCAAAACTCCCTGAAGTGCTGAAGAAAGTTGCGTTCTGCAGTCATCAGCTGCATATTGGAATAGAACCCTTTTGTTTTGGGTTACCACTGCCATTTCTTTTCCACAGTAAACTTTGCTATAATGAGGAAGGCAAGGGACCCTCAATATCCTAATCTTCCAGTTCTTTTGACCCTCTAAGCCCATTCCTGAGGGAAAGCTTAGTCCAAGTGGAGCTAGAGAACTGGAGAATTAGGACTGTTCCTATCACAGCCAGGCTGTGAGCCTCTCCCTGTCCCTGGGCTGTGATCAGCAGCATTCAGGCAGGGAATGAATGGATCCATTTAATGCCAAATTTGATTCCAAGTTTGACTGGTGAGGCACATGACTATGGAAAATAGGGTAGGAGGCACAGAGCAGCATCCCACAGGCTGACAAATGGGCACTGGGAACTGAGGGAGGTGTCAGGGCTCCAACTGGTGCAGCCTCAGCCACCCACATCACACTGTTTCTATGCCTTTAAAACACTGGAGGTACCAGGGGTGCTGATGCACAGAAAATTGCATCTCGCTTGGAGTGCTTGAACTGCTGCAAGACACAGCTACCACCAGCCTGTGGCCAGGATGCCAAGTTCCTGTCATTCACTCTGCATGCCAGATCTACTCATTACACATGGTGGGCACACAGCAAATGTTTGTAAGGATCCTGTGATTCCTGCATCTTGCAGTTTCTGCAGAGGAAACTCCAGAGGGACTAATTTCTCCTTGTCCCTCACAAGGGATGTTGAAGTGGGCAGTGGCCTCCGTATACCCAAAATTGCCATTCCCTCTGTGCAGTTTTCCAATCAGCCCTGCTGGTGCTCTGGAGCAGGGTGGGTAGCTGCTCTCTGGGTGCAAAGCCAGCAATGCTTTGCAGCCATGGGGGCAGGTGGCACCTGCACAGGACAAAGGCATTGGTGTGGCCTGTTTGTGCTTGTTTGTGTTGGTCTGTGAGTAAGCTGAGGATAGTTTTGGGCAGAGGTGGTGTTCAGGCCAGAGGGTCCTTTCAAGGACCAGAGGCAAGTGTGGTGGCGCTTGAAGCATTCAGGGACTGCACAGGAGGACATCCTGGCTACTCATCCCTCTGCCATGCCTCCCAGCATTTACTGTAACCCTCTGGCAGCATCCCTCAACACAGAGCAATTTCTTCTCTGCCTGTCCTTGGGAAGAAGGATTGTAAGATAAGGGGATAAAGATGAATCACAACTGTTGTGAGTCAGCGCAGTGTGACTGCTGCTTGCTTTGTGATTCCCAGGTGTGAGAACTGAGGCTTGTCATGACAACCTTGGCTGAGTTTATAGCAGCTATCTCACTCTGGGATCAACTCCCAGAGTGGAAATTGGTAGAGCTCCTCAAGAAGATGGGTGTTATTCAGTGTACATGAAACACTTGGCATCTTCCCCAGAACAGGAAGCCACAGAATGTCCCACAGTGAGCCTGGCTGGGACCTTGAGTGACTCAGGATTGAGCCCTGTGGGACATGGCGAGGCTTTGCTGAAAGCTGTCACACGTCAGCACCCACAGGAGCCATCAAAGTCCCCATCCTGCAGGCCCCTGGGGGAGGCAGTGCCTGGGTCCCCAGCTGCCTGGTGCCCATGGCTGGATGATATCCATGGCTTTTCTCCCAGTAGAGCCAGCTGTGATCCACCTTGAGGGACTAGGAGGGGAACTGCTGTTCATCCCAGCTATGGCTGAAAGCTGGTGACAAAGGGGAAGAAGCCAAACATGACAACTCCCAGCTCCGAGGGCATCTAGGCAGAGCTTGGTATGGATGTGGATGTGTAAATGGATTTGTGTGAGCCCTTATCTGGAGGTACCACATATTTTGGTGAAATACAAAGTTCTGATCCCTTCTGAGCATGTGCAAACTGGGCTTCTTCAGACAACTTCCCACTGTCTTTAAGGATGAGGATGCAAGGGAGACAGTGGGAGGTCAAACAAGTCTGCAACATCTCCCTTTTTCTCTATTCCCTCTTGCCTTTCTCCCTTCTGTGCTGCTCCCTGTGGGGGAGGCTTGTTCACATGGTATGATTCTCTGGAGTTCCATATCAGCCCTGTGATCGTGGCATCTATGGACACTGAACAAGTCACAGATGCAGGCACACATCAGTGGTGGGAGGAGTCCATGGATGTAGGAACATGTCCTGTCCTAGATGGACTGTCCTGCAGGAGGCTGCCCATCAGCTTTGTGTTGGCAAAGTGTGCTGCAAACCAGTAAATGCTGCTGAAGCAGAGCAGCTGGGTTTGTGTGGGCAGAAGGGCTGTGACCTCTCACAGCCTGCAGCTCTCTGGGCTTCTCCTCTGTGAGGAGTCTCTGTGAGACTGCTGGGCACAAACTCCAGGATGTACCTGTGGGATTTGTGGGGAGCTTCAGGGCTTGCTCTGGCTGAGAGCTGAGTTTACTGCCACAACCCTTCACTCCACAGGGAAATGTGCCCGTGACCACATGACAGCTCCACTGGCTGTGGTGGGAGTCCACAGCCAGCTGTGCTTCTGGGTCAGCCAAGCTGGGCTGTGCCAGAGAGGCTGTGCTTGGCAAGGCTGGAGCTGTGCTGATCCATGACATGATGCCTTTCTTCTCTTCTGGCACGGCTGCTTCACCTGTGTGGCTTGGCAAGTGGTCCTCTCCTCTTCAGTCTCTCATTCAACAGCCCATTACCCATCCCCACATGGAGCATCCCAAATCCAACCAGCTCCAAAAAATGGCCCTGTTTCCTGATCCCTCCTGCACATTCCCTGCCTTGCACCTGGTGTCTCCTGGGCTCAGGGACTTTGCTCACTCCCTGGTCACTCACAAGCACCAGCAGGGACTGCCTGACTTGCTTATGCACCTGGGAGGGCAGAGAGAAGCATCCTGCCCTGGGGCCAGCTGCCTGCTCTCAAAGGCCTGGGTCTCCTGCCACATGGTCCCCCACTCTTGGTGGCAAGAGCTGCTCAGCTGAATGTTCATCCCTATTGTGGTGATGTGCTTTACCCATCCACCTCATTGTGGGTCTGTGGCTCTCCTGCCTCCCCCTCCTTCCTGCAGGCAGCTCTGCAGATGGGCGGTAGGGCATGGGCTGTGAAGGAGGTGGGCTCTGTGCTAATGCTGTCCTTTCCTTTTTCCCCAACAGCATGACTACAGTCATTGTCATCCTGGCTGCAGTGATCGCCCTGATCATTGGTTTTGGTGTCTCAGGTGTGTGACAGCTCAGATTTCCTGCAGTTACTGGTGGAATGATGAACTTCTGCCCTGCCTCTACCTCTGTGTGTGCATCCTGTGCACAGGCTGAGGTGTGATCATGTGTGGAAGTGTCGCCCACCATCCTTTAACAAGGATAGGCAGGGGTAGTGCAGCCTGTGCTGCTGGAGGTGTAGTGTGGCAGCTGAAATTCCCTTGGGCTTGGAGTCCCAAACCTACACAGAAAATCCTGCACATTCTCTGCTCCTTCTCCTGGATAGGAGATGATTTATTGTGAAATCAGAGAGCATCTGCCAAGATGGGGCGCCTTTCTCAGGACCCTCAGAGACAACAAAAATGTGTTGTTTTGGTGTTGGCCAAAATGCAGCTTCCTTGGAATGTGCTGAGTGAGGATGGGTAGGGAAGAGCTGCATGGGGAAGAGGGCCTGGCTCTGGAAATTCTCAGGCTTGCAGTTTAGGATTTCAGATGCTCACTTTTCTTAAATGAAAGAAAAATATTTTGATTTCAGTAAGGGGGAAAGAGCTGCTATTTCTCTGCCAGCATTATGCCTTCCAATCACATTTATATTGCATAAAGGGAAGTCCTGACTAAGAAAAGACATAAAATTCACGCTTTTCTGGCAGCTGCAAAGAGAAAAATCCCTGATATATATAAGTAAACAAGAAAATACCATGTGAACTCTTCTTAAACAAGTAAGAAGAGCTACTTTTTGAAGCACTCTTTTGCTACAGAAATACTCCTGTGCTTTATCATGGCATACAATCCATGGGAGCTGGCCTCTACCAGCAGCACTGGTGGCAGCCACTGGAGGCCTTGCTGTGTGCCAGTGACTGTTCAGCCTTGGGCTTGGTCCATGACAGCCACAGGGCAGTCTGGCCTTTCTCCAGGTGTGCTGCCTCACCCTTCTCCAGCCTCCTTGCTCTCTCCTTGCAGGAAAACACTCCATCAGTGTGACGGCGTTGACGTCTCCAGGGAACATTGGCCAGCGCAGTGTCCTGGGCTGCTCTTTCGAGCCCGACATCCGGATGGACAGCATTGCAATCCAGTGGGCCAAGGAGGGGGTAGATGGGCTGGTTCACGAGTTTAAGGGAGGGAAGGACCACCTGCAAGGGCAGGATCTGTCATTTCAGGGCCGCACGGCCGTGTTTGCGGACCAGGTGATCGGCGGGAATGCCTCCCTGGAGCTGAGGGATGTGCAGCTCTCCGATGCTGGCACCTACCAGTGCTCTGTCACCACAGCCAGAGGGAGCGGGGCAGCGGTGCTGCGCTACAGGACAGGAGGTGAGGGCTACAAGGAGCAAAATCCTGCTGCAAAACATGTGCTGGTGTGGCTTGGTTGAACCTACCTGTGCTTGTGATGCTGCTACACCCCTGAGGAGGGTGTATTTCTGGCTTTTACAGGATATTTATGGCCTTAGTCCCTCTTTTGACACCATTGTTCCAGAAAAGGTTATGCTCTTGATAACATGGTAGCTTTTTCTCTCTAGAATTAGGATGTATGTCCAGCCAGAAGTTCTGCATAGAAAAAATGGTAGTGTACTTAATAAATTTTTCTGAAGTATTCAGTTCTTTGAAATTACTACCAATGCAACAAACCTCTGATGTCATAGTTACCTGAAACATTACATATTTACAAGAGTCAGTCCTCCAGGAGAGATCTGGAAACCACCAGGTCTTTGGCCTCTTCCAGTGAGATGAATTTAGCTGTAATAACAAGTCACCTCCCAAGTGGTCACCTCATGCTGAGACTGAGGGATGAACCCCTTGCAGGTCTCCTCCAGATTGCACCCTTCCCTCTCATCCTTGTGGCCAGAATTCCTGTCCTACAGTGCAGATTGGGTGAGGAAAAGCCCTCAGACCTCCTCAAGTGAAAGAGGGTTCTGGCTCAAGCCTGAGGGTTGCAAATGTTCAACTGGGACTTGGTCCCCTATCCCTTCTTCAAACCTTGTGGCTCTGCCTACTTTTGTGTTGCTTGATTGGATGTTTAAAGTAATCTACACAGAAAAGGCATTAGAAAGAACATGTGAAATGTTGTAATGGGTTTTATTTCCAGCACAGCTGTAATACCTGTTCTGTGTGGAAAGATGGACATGTTCCTTTCAGCTGATTTTCTTTAGCTCACCCTTTCACCAGTTCACCTCCAGGTCCTACCACCCAAAACAAAAGTGGACAAATACTGAAGGCAGCTCTCCTGTGGTTTGGCTGTGTAAACCTTCCTTATGCCAGGTCTGCAGGGGATTGCTCAGGAGAGAAAATGGCTTCAAGTTGCCCCAGGGGAAGTTTAGATTTAAGAAAAATTTGCTCATAGAAAGGGTTATCAAGCCCTAGAACAGGCTGCCCAGGGAGGTAGTGGAGTCACCTACTATCCCTAGAGATTTAAAATAAAAATACATGCATTTATGTTTTTGGTACAGTTGTGGACTTTATGCTTGGTTAACAGTTGATCTTAAAGGTCTCTTCCAACCTTAACGATTCTGTGAAGCTGTAGGTGGTAGGTCAGGCCCCCTTCTCAGTGAGTGGAGAGGGTAAATCATCTTTCTCCCATTAAGAATAACTAAAAGACACTAAAGCTGTGTCACAACCTCAGCAGATCCTGTCAAGCTGGACTGCTATGTCCTAGGAGTCCTTGGATCCCTTGTACTCATCCTCCCATAGCCCAACCTGTACAGAGCTCTTGGCTCCAGGCAGTGCTGTGCTGCCAAGCAGTGAGCAGCCTAGAAATACCTGGGACTGGTAGATGCAGTTGGATATTTCATGCCCAGTTCCTATCACTTGCCTGGTTTTGAGTGTCTCCCTGTTTTCCCTCCTTCCCAAAGCCTTCAGCATGCCCGTGGTGCAGGTGGAGCACGGAAGCCATGAGGACGCACTGCAATGTGAAGCCCCGCGCTGGTTCCCTCGCCCTGCCGTGCACTGGATGGCCTGTGGTGACACTGGGGAGCACCTGCCCCTCCCTGCCAATACCAGCTACCAGCTGAACCCCGAAAACATCACTGTGAAGGTGGTTTCCCTCCTGCACAACATCACTGCTAATGCCACCTACACCTGCGTGATTGAAAACAGCATTGCCAAGGCTGTGGCCAACATCAGAGTGACAGGTAGGGCTCGACAGCACCCCGAGACCACAGGCATAGGGGAGAGGAGAGTTTCAGCAGTGTTCCTGGTGCACCAGGGGGCTCTTGCAGCAGCTGTGTCAGGCAAGGAAGGGACTGAAAGCATGGCTAATCCAACCACTTCTCTGTCCCTGGGATGAATGAAAGGGTCTGTGTTTGCTCCTGCTGTCTCATATGCTTCTCGTGGTATTGTCACCTTGGCTAGGGGACAGACTGCCAGGGGATCAGAAAGAGGGACACACTTCAAGAGTGTATTGCTTGGAATATTAACCAAAACCAAACCAACCAACCAAGCCTCACATCTTTTGACACTTTCTTTAGCCAGTTCATCTTAGATCCCATTCGTGTACCAAACCAACAGGCCCCTTTAGCAGCTATTGGTGACAGTACCTCTGACTCCGGCCCAATCCCTTTATTTTAAAAGCCATTTTACTCATAGAAAACCAAGCTTTACAAAGGTTCTGAGTATCTTCTGTTCTACAAGAGAAGGGCCATAATGCTTCTACAGCTGTGACTTCATTGCAATTGGTCTCCAGTACAAGAGGCAGGGTCTACCTCCATCCATGTTCAGAAAAATGGGAAGGAATAAATACACACTTTATTTGCCTTCCCTGCTGTGTTCCTGTTCTGGCAGCCTCTCATAATTCTTCTGCTACAGATTTCAGCACTATGAAGGTGACCAACTTGCAACTGGTGAACCTGAATGCAGAGTCAGTGTCATCCTCCTTTCCAGCCTGTCACTGGATGCTTCTGCTTCCCTTGTACCTGCTGTCAACATAAAGCCTCTGTAAAGCAATTGGGAACGCTGCTGGACCTGCAGGTAAGCTTGGGAAGAGAAACTCATATACATACATATACAGAGGCCCTCTTAGGGAGTTTGGCTAGAGCAAACCTATCTCAAACCTGCCAGAACGGGAGAGCGTGTCTTTCCCCTCTACCCATCCTTTCCCCATCCCCACCTTTAGGTGGGACACATGGCTTGTCCCTCCCACAGGCTTCTCCCATCACTTTCTGCAACCACAGAGATCCTTCTCTTGTACCATCACCTGTCAGCTCTTACTTGTCCCCTCATTTTCTTTCCTGGGTACCCTCTGGACCTGGGCTGCAGTTCATGGCTGCAAGGCAGCACAGGCTTGTTCCTCTCCCTCCCTGCTCACAAGACCTGCTACAGGTACAAGCCTCTCCAGTAAATACTACAGACACCTTGAACATGGCTAGAGGGAGCTGCCAGCCTGAGCAATTCCCTGCAGACCTGGAATAAGGACGGCTTACCACAGCAAAAGCACAGGACAGCTGCCTTCAGTATTTATTGGCTTTGGCTGGTAGGACGTGGAGGTGAACTGGTGAAAGGGTGAGCTAAAGAAAATCATCTGAAAGGAGCACGTCTGTCCTTCCACACAGGTATTACAGCTACGTTGATGGCAGGACTCACTTCAGGCTTTCCTCCCTATGGGGCTGAGGGCTTTAGGAGTTCCTGCTGGTTCCAGAGGACACTGTAGTACAAACATGAAATTAGCTCATTTTTCCTGTGTTATCATTTCTTACCCACACCAACAACAGGATACTTTGTTTGACTTCACAAAGAGAGCAAGGAATGTGATAAGGAGAATTGCATAACGGAAAAGTTCTGATTGTAGGACAATCAGTATGTTCCCTTGTCTGATCTAACACAGTGACCAGAGCTTTGATCATGGGCAGAAGTTCAGACAAAAACAGGAAAAGGGTTTCCCGCAATAGAGCTGAGAATAGCTCCTTCAGAGTACTAAAAGCAAGCAAATCTTAATTCCCCCCAAACAGATTTGATTCACCCATCTCTTGTCTTGTGATTCTCTGACTGTACCAATAAAACTGTAAATAAGAGAGGCACTTAACCTCCTTCATCTTCTTGGAGTGCTTAAATCAAACTCCTCTGCTGAAAAAGATGTGAATGGCAGAACAGCAATGGGTTAGAAAACTGCCAGCAGGTTTGGAATATCCTAGCAAAGACAAACCACATCTAAAGTCCTGTACAAGGAATGATGATTGCAGTTGTAATGTGAAATGAAAGAGGAACAGATAAGCAGACAGCAGACAGAAAACTAACATACAGCACGAGGAGGAAAAGGAGACTAGTAAGATACCACTGGAAGCTTCAAGTTATTAAAGTTATTAAACCCAGATATAACAATAGAGCTGAATTTTTCTTTTTTGTTTTTTAAATAAGTGTTATCAGGTACTTCCTATCTATTTCTCTCTGCTACTGTGTTATTCATATTACAGGACTACTTTCAGTTGCACTTTTTAACCAGATTTTAATCTTTGTCTTATCACTTACAGTCAACATTTTCCTCAGACTGAGATAGTTTATTTTGGGTTTTTTTTGGTTTTGTTTTGCTTTCTTTCTGGAGGGTGGAGAGAAGCTTTAGTAAAACCTTTTCTGTTCTGCAGAAAGCACTCACAGAAAGTAAGGCTGTCACAGCAACATTTGCAAAGACTTCAGCTTTAAGCTATTTTGGCAACCTTTTAGGATGGAGTCTCACAATGTTACTGAATGGTGGCATCTATCAGGTCTTGTGCCACTCACACTTTGGTCTCAGAAGTGGACAGCAGCCTTGAGAGGGAAGACACTTCACTCAGGCTCAGTAAAACCACTGCCTGTATCACAGCTCAGTGCCTGCCTCTTCTTACCAGCCCCACCTCATGTCCAGGCTGCTGCTGATAAATTGCAAAACAATGCTCAAATAATCTTGTCATTTAGCACTGTGATTTAGTCTCCAAACAGCAGCTGACTCACTTCCCTTCTTTTCTTGAAGGAGATGCTTCAAAAGTGTAATTTTAATTCTTTCAATTAGGTTAAGAAGACTATACCCTGTGGGAATGTATAGTTTTGTTAATGGTCACATACAGCAAGGAAAACTGAATACTAAAATAGATACTAAAACAGATACAGTGTTCTTTAAGTAATATTTTCATAGCTTTATTTAGTAGATACTACCACACCAAATGCACACACTGCGTGCCCTAGGCCCAAGGCAAGAGCTGTCACACAGGAAGCACTGAACATCTCTCTTCCAAAATGTAGCCCAGAGTCACTGGTTGACAATGGCCCAGAGTGACCATTCAGGAATTCCACAAGTCACAGCAGCTGCTTGACTGCACCCTTCACCCTGTGCTCACAGGCTTGTGCTTCCCCTGAAAGGAGCTTTAAAAAGCTCCTGATCACAGTACGTATTTCCATAATTCCTCTCCCACTGGGAGAGATATTAAGCAGTGGCTCCCACTCAGCAGGAACTGGATGTCCTGCTCATCCTCTGGCTGTTCAGGTAGTTTAAGGCATCTTGTCCCACTTCCTCCACCTTCAGGCACAGCAGGCTTGGACGAGGCCCCACTCGTGACACAAACTCCACTTCACCGGAGCGAAAATTCCGCAGCTGCAGGGGAGCTGCAGGGGAGGGATACAATGGGAACAACTCAGGACAGGGCTCTGGCTCTGTTCTAGCCCACAGCTGGGGAAGGGAAGGCCTTGCAGCAGCTGCCTGGCATCTGCCAAACCTCAAAGGACAGCACAATGAATGACTCCAGGATGTAGGCAGAGGAATGCATTTTGCCAGCATCCCTCCAACCTGCAGGAAACAGACATTCTACACTGTGAAGTGAATGCTGTGAACTGTGTGCTCACAGAGCTGATGCTCTGAGCTTTGTATCCTCTGTCAGTATCAGCAACCTGCCTTTACAGACAGTGCACATGACAGCCAGAAAGTCTCCACTGCAGAGCATCCTCTGGTGTGCTTAGCAAATCAACCCCTGCAGCACCTGCACTCAAACTGGTGTGTGTGCAAACAGTGTGAAGAATTGGTGTGAAGAATGTCCCCTTAACACAGCAACTGCACAGTTGTGGCAGCATGAGCTCACACCTCAGCACTCATGAATTCAAAACACTTCAGTACTGATTTCCAGGAGAGGATTTCCAGGCCTGCTATCAATCCTACATGCTGTCCTATCTACAGTCAAAACCCACTTGATTTGAGAAACCTGTGCAGTAACTCTCGCTGATCAGATTCCTGTCCCAGACAAGGATTGGGAATCTTTCTCAAGAACAGTTTAATGTTTCTGTGTGAAGTAGAAAAATTTATCCTATGTTGTTTTAGGAATTTCCATAATATCATTTCTCTATTTTTATAGCCACGGATCTACTAAGACATAACTTAGTTCTACACTACAGAATACAAAATTCCAGGAAAATCCTTCAAAGGTCTTGCTATGATGGACAGTGAAGGCACCTCTCCTTCCCCAGCCTGGTGAAATGCCTCCTCCCTTCCTTCTCACACTAAATATTAGAAAAGCCAGTAGTACTTGCTTACCAGGCTGCAGGATCTTGGAGGGCTTCCTGTCTAGGCTGAAATCCAACAGGATGGGGCGACATATGAGAGGACTTCTGCACAGACTCCTTAGGTAATGAGCAACAAGATCCTCAGGTTCCTCTAGACACTGAGGAAGGAAAGAGTGTGTTGCCAGGGAGTGTTCAGTGGGAGGCAGGGAGGCTCTACAACACCCAGAGCAAAGGGAAATCCTGTCCAGCCGAGACTTGAGCCCAGCAGGCTACAATTGCTGCTGGAATAGCCCACTCACCCCTGCTCCAGGAGCTTCCCCGTGCTGAATGCACACGCTGCCCCTGCTCTGCACACAGTTCTGCACAGCTTCCCACTCGAGAAGGCTCAGGCCCAGCACTGCTGCCACATGTTCATTCCTGCACACCACCACAGCTTCGCCTGTTCCATCCTCCACCAGCACCCTGTGCAGAGAGCAGGCAGGCTGGGATCAGGAGGGCAGACAATACCTGCTCCCTCACAAGGGCCACACCCCAGAAAACACATCTCAGTAGAGAGTTCACCTCTCAGAAGATGTGATAACTCCATCTTTGCTGTTGTATCCACATCCCATCCTTGATATGATTTTCCCCCTCCTGTTTGTGCTGTAATTTGCTCCCTCCTCCCCCCTCTCCCCACAGCCAATCCCTAGAGCAGTTACCGTGCACTGGCTTGCCTCACTCCTGTTTGTGATGGACATGGAGGATTGTGTCGGGTGCACCTCCCCTGAAGGAAGAACAAAGCCACAGCTGTGTATGGGTGTAAGTGACAAGGGGAAGGGCCACTGCTTATTTTAATCCTTCTCTAATTAAGTAGGCAAAAGTGTAAAGAATTTCACTGCATTTCCAGTGAGTGCCCTAGGAAAAATTTATATGGGGAGAAAAATCACCTTGCTGCAAGGTGCTGATCCCAAATAGCAGTGAACATGGGAAGAGCAGAGCATTGACAGAGTAGGATAGTAGGATTGTCCTCTTCAGTGCCCTCATTTCCTCCCCAGTCCTAGCTGCCAGCCTGCCTGACATCAGACACACACTTCTAATCACTTTGGTCCCTTTCTAATATGCAAGTCCTTCTCAGACACTGAAAAAGGGTTTGCAATCAAGATAGGAACTCTCATTTCTTCAACATTGTAGCAAAGGATGTGTGAGAATAAAAAATCTGCAAGACCTCTCACAAATTATGTTTGTGGAAGCTTGAATACCTCTTTGAAGATGCAGCTGCAAAGTGAGCAAATCCATTGCAGGCGCACAGTCAGTACACAGCACAAGTGGCATAAAATCCGGGCCTGGGTCACATTTTGCAGCTGAGGTCTCAAGCTGGATAGAAACACTAGTGAGGGGGATGAGGCTTCTCCTGCAGGACTAGAAGAAACAGCAATTTGAGAAGCTTGGAACATAGAAGCCTTTCTTTGGGCACTCTACCGTGAGAACAGACCCAACACTTACTTAGAAGGCAGGTGAGAAGCTGGCAGAGATAGGATGCTCACACAGCTGGAGGCAATGTATGTGCAATAAACATTACGGAATCTGCAATATCAAAGAGCAGACGTCAGAAAGAGCTCACAGAAACCAAACACAAGTTTTCTTGGGATGGCTGGGCTGATCTTCTTTTGCAACATGCTAGGAAAATAATTTATGCTAAGGGATTGGGAGAGATGAAGGTTTGAACAAGTCCACGTGGGAAATCAGATTAAGAGATGGTTTCAAAGACAGAAAAAGAGGTCAGGGGTCTAAAGACAGGAGCACCTTGAGATCTTGCGTTCCAAGTTCTGGAAGAGGATCTTGGCTCCAGGTAGCAAGCCCCTGAGGTGCTGCAGGTAGGTGGCAGTAATGTAAATGTCCATCACAACAGGGGAGCCCGGAGCAGCTGAGACACTGAGCTTCACACTGTGATCCCTGGACAGCAGAGTCTCTGAGGAGGCACAGAACCACACAGACCGTGAGCTCACTCACACAGGCAGCATGGCCTGTCTCTGAGCTGGGCCTGCTAGAGGGGCTCTTCCTCCCATCCTGATGAGGTTATGATTGTTCCACCTCCCAGTTTTCTGGATACTGCATTCCCATTCCCATCTCCACATTCACAGTGTGCAGTTTCCAAGCCCTTTGACGTGCAACAGGATACAACATCCTGGCATACTTCCACTATTCCCAGATGCAGCAGCACACTCGGAGCCAAGTGCACTGGCTTTCTGTAACAGAAAGAAGAACTAATCTATTGCCTCTCAACAGGCTGCCACAATCTTACCTGTCTGCTTTGGATGGCCAGGTGGCTTCTCATTCCTGGGAGAGGCACACAAGGTCCTCTCCACGATCTCTCCACAGAAAGAAACAAGGGAACCTGAGAAACTGAGAGCAGACCAGGATTTTTGTCCCGCCTGAAGACAAAGGGAGTGGAAGAAGGCCTGACTTCAAGATTGCAACAAAGTGGAGCGCTGTTGGTTAAGCCCAGTTTCTGGGGAACCTGCCCTTGAGCACCTGAGCTACTGGACTGAGGGCAGCTTGCTGCAGCCTACCCCTCCCAGGGACACGAGGCCCCTTTACCTTGCTTTCTGCTGCTTCAGGCTCAGCAGTGAAGATGAAGAGTAAAGCACTACAGCCTTCCTCTCTGCTAAACCCCTAATTGTTTTTCTGAATTTGATGAAGAAGTCAAGCAAAAAACCCACAGTTTTCCATAAAGCACTGGTGAAAAATCCAGTGTACATACACATCACCCCAGATTAAACATGCTTTGAAAGGAAAAGTTCTAAGTTTATTATGTGTTTGAGCAAGGTATGCTAAAAAATCTAAAACAAAAAAACCCCAAAAATATATATTCAGTCTGATTTTCCCTGCTGTGCTTGTTTCCACTTCTGACAGGGATTTGGGAGACACCTTTGGGGCTTAGTCCACACCAGCAGTAGCCAAACCATTTTCTGGACACAATTTTTCAGTTTTGTCACCTACAATCCCTTTACCTTAAATAACCAGGATGGGAGAAGTCTGAACTACTTGCACACATATTTTCCAAACCATATTCCTAGGGTGGATATTTCATTGCAGTTTAATATAGCACTTCCCAATAAAAATTACCACAGAGCCATTCCCTAAGACACAGTCATTTGTAATTTGGGGCAGACCAACATACCTGCTGCTAAGCACTTCTGGGATGGAGGCAGTTCTCTGGTCCATGCCTGTCAGCACTGACAGGGCTGTGAGCTACAAGTGAGGGAGACACAGCCTCAGATGGGTTGCAGTTTACACGCATCCCCAGCCAGAGCAGAAAAGACAAGCTCTGTGTGCTCAGAGCTAGGTCAAGCAACTCATGCTTCTTCTCTAGATGAATTCTGAAGCAGGAAAATGTGAAGCCCAGCAGCAGGCTCTGATGGAACTTAGAGCAGAACAGTCTCACCAACAAGACACTGTATACTGATAATTTCTAGCTGGTTTTGGAGAGGCCTACAGGTAGCCTGTGAAAGCCCTGTGCAATAAGGCACTGCATACCTG